TACACAGAACAAATTGTTTTTTGAATACAATAAATTTTGATCTGGTGGTAAATCCCTAGATACCTACTATGAATGAATCAGATATTATATTCAGATACAAAACTTTAAAATGTGAAAGGATGAAACAAAGTTTAAAATGAGAACAGGAGCAAAGAAATGAAAGTTAAATATTAAGAGAAATACAAAAAGCCAGGAGGCTGCAGCAGAAGCTCACGTCTCTCCCAGTGAATCCCTGAACAGGCAACGTGCATTGGAGTTCCAGTCTCAAAGCGAAAATTTTGGATTCCAGACAAATTGCTGAAGAGTTTCTGTGATGGGAATGAGGGGGAGGAGAAGGAGCTTCTTCACTATTAGAAGTCTGTTCCCCTAAATCATATCTAATCAACATAAAGTTATAAATATGAGAAAAATATTTTTGAGACAGGTTCTCACTAAGCAATTCAGACTGGTCTTGAATTCCCCACAATCCTCCTCCCGAATTCTGAGATTATAGGCTTGCACCACGACACCCGGCATAAATCTGAAAATCTTAACAAAATTTTTATAATTAGCACTATACTAAAAATTCTTCTCCCTGGCATGGTGGCATATGCCTATAATCCTAGCACTCAGGAGGCTTGGCACGAGGATAGCCTCAAGCTGGAGGCCAGCCTGGGCTACAGAGTGAGTTTAAAACCATCCTAAACTACATAGTGAGACTCTGTCTCAAAAAAAAAAAAAAAAATCTCAACATTTGCAAGTTCTAGCCAGGTATGGTAGCACATTCGAGCGATACAGATCTTGAACTACACTGTCTCAGACGGCTCCTTCTGAAGTTAGTGCATTATTAACCTTACTAAATTCTAAAATCACCCTATTCGGAGCACAACTTTCACTTGCCTATTTCTGAACTTACACTATTTCAATCAATAACAAATGTGGCACTATAAATCCAAAGTGTTCTGCAACAAGTACATAAACAAGTACATAAAACTTTCAGAAACTTTTGTAACAACATGGATTATTACAAGTATAGCAGTAATTTTGTCTGTTGAGTCTAGTAACGATTAATGTGTTTCTTTGTTTTCAGCTTTGTTTTGTTTTTATAAATGTGTTCCCCTGGATTAGAATAGAAATTTTAAACAATAATAATCCTCAGCCAGTCAACCTAAAATCCCACCTTTGGCCATCTGTTTGGCCCAACTTCATTTATCAATCAGAGCAGCTACTAAGCTGAGGTTATACTCGGGAATGTGTGATCTCAATCTACTCACGTGCTAGGTAGCACTGTAATTAAGAGCCCACCTTCAAAAAAACCTGTCATAGAACTGAATCCAAAACACATGATATGGTATTAAACTTGAGTGTCCAACTCTGCTATCTGATAGGGCCTCATTGTGGACAGCATACTTTGGCTTCCTTTAAAAGTTTTAGTTTTTCTATCTGCTGAAAGAAATAGCATCTTAGTCAGTTATAACTACATTTGAAAAATCAGAGTTTTCGTCTCCTTGTTTTTATGATTTTATAAATCATTAAGACATAAAGGTACAGTTGCTAGGGCAAATGGTAAGGAAGAAAGTCAGGCAAGTATTAGGAAAATTGGTTGGAGTTGAGGAATATCACCTACATCTCCTGATGCTCTGTAAAGGGAAGTGGATTCTGCTATGGCAATTTCAGACTACTTAATTTTAACTCATTTCCAAATACTAATCCTGCCACAATTAATAGTTTGAGTGCCAGGCATGGTGGTGCAACCTGTAATCTCAGCACTCAGAAAGCCAAGGCAGAAGGATCACTGTGAGTTCGAGACCAGCCTGAACAGTATATCGAAACCTTGCCTCTAATAATAATAGTAATGATAATGATAATAATTTAATTGGTCATCTGATTAATTCTAAGAGAAATTCTGAAGAAGAAAGCATTGACTAACAAAGCTATAGCAAGATTAAGACAATGAATTTAAAGAATATCTTTCACATAAAAGACAGTGAACTGTACAAGTAGGTGTCTGGTCTTCTTAGTTATAACACTGGTCCCTAGAGAAAAGCTAAAATAAAACCCCTTAAAAACAGATGTCATTCAGTTAATGTAGAAACTAGGGGAGCTATTTCCTAAAGGGCAGAAATTGTGCTTCCCTCTTTTTTTTTTGAAGTCCCTCTTATATGAAGTCATTTTTACAAATCTTACTAGCTTCATGATATAGAGCATTAGTCTGTAATAGCATAATTTGCCTAGAAAAAAATGTTTAGTTTCCAGAAGATGGCAAATGACAGCTGCATTCTAAAATGTTTTTGACAAAGTTATATGCAACATTTATTCTATTCAAATGGTTCAAAAGGCATTGCTTCTGCTATAATGACAAACAGATATTATGAATGCTGATTTATCGCATTTTAAGACATACAATTGAGCTGGGCATGGTGGCACATGCTTGTAATCCCAGCACTTGGGAGGCTGAGGCAGGCGGATTGCCAAATTTGAGGTCAGCCTGGGTACAGAGTGAGCTCAACGCCAATCTGAATTGCAAAGTGAGACTCTGTCTCAAAAAGACCAATTTAAAAAAAAAAAAGACATATAGTTAGAAAAAGACCACTTGCCTATCAATTTGGCAAGCTACAAACGACATGGTATACTAACAGCTTTATTAATGGCCTGATTAATAACACCACTCATGTAGATATTTCTTGTTAGTGGAAAAACAAAACAAAACAGCACATACCTGCCTAACTCAATACATATTCTACAAAGTTCAAGAAAGTACAGAAATTGGAAAAGTTCTAAGCATTTAAAAAATGTTATTGGTATACTTTTGATATATAATAAATACATTCATCGTGGTTAAGCATTTTACAGCAATCAGAAGCTGCAGCTGAACAGGGTGGTGCAGGCCTGTAATCCCAGCTACTCAGGAGGCTGAGGTGGGAGCAGTGTTTGAGGACCAGGGATTTCAGGCCAGCTTGGGCAACATACTGAGACTCCACTAAAAAAAAAAAATTGTATAGGCTGTTTATTTGAATTAATTATAATTCTTCGTAAATATTAGTTCAGTAAATCTTTAAACATACAAACCAATCCAATCTCACAAACATCAGGCCTAACAAGGTCAACCTAATTTCTCTGTACTTTTTATAGGGAAAATCTGTTTATATTAGAGGAAAAGAGAGCAGGCTCACAAAGTACTAAGCAGGTAACCCAAAAGAGTTCAGTGGGCTTCACAAGCCAGGTACTACTGTGATAATTCACTGCTACTCAGCTCTACCCAGCTGTCACCTTGAGGCCAAAAATTACAATAAAAGCAAATATCCTACTAATCTAGCAAAGGAAGCCCGTGGCCTGGATTTGTAGATGGGCTGCCTTATATATCTACTGTATACCTCTACAGCAATGGACAGAGCGGCCAAGAACTGTTCTGAGTCAGAAGAACCTAGCTGCAAATAGCTTTGAGTCAGAAGAGCCTAGATTTAAACGGCTCTGATTCTAACATTCTTCGTGAATTTGTGCAGATTACATAATCTGAGTCTCAGTTGCCTCATCTGCATCTCAGTGAGTTTTTAAGCGAAGAAAGTTTAACACACGTAATCTATTAAAATGTTGTATTAGATACTGAAGGATACAGATAAGGAAACAGAAATGGGGCAGCAATTCGAGCCTCCTGGCCAGCAGTGGACTTCCCAGTTCTATCACACTTAGCATGCCGAGGCCCACCTTCCTTCCTGCCCTATGTACTCTTCACTAGCAGTCTCTTCAGGGTTTTCCTCAGCCTAACTCCCACCTCAAGCACACCTCCTGTTTACCCTGGGGGTACTTTCAAGACTGCCATGGAGGCAGGGCCTTTGCTACTGCTGACCCCTAGGACAAACTCATAAAACTCCTTTCTTCTGAATGTAGTTTTTCTCCCCAAGGCTTGAACACTGTGTACTTTGTGAACTCTTTATGACAATCTAAAGATTCTATTTGCATTTTCATAGAACAACATTTTCATCTATCCTTCACTCCCTAGTAATGCTTGTTTAGGCAATGACAACACATCAAACAAAATGTCAGTACATATTAACCAAAACGTTTGTTTCAAAGCCAAAAGACTTGAAAACAGCCTCAGCATACCCATTCCAATGCTCTGCTTCTTTAAAAGCAAAAGACAGTTAAGAGCAACCTAATTTAGCTGGGTGTGGTGGCCCACAACTATAATCCAACCTGTAATCTGGGTGGCTGAGCCAGGAAGATCTCAAATCTTTAGGCAATTTAACAACACCCTTTCTCAAAGTTTAAAAAAGTAAAAAAAGAGATGTAGCTGTGTGCGAAGAACAAACTAACCTGTGTGTTAAACTTTTAGTTTATGAGTATTAAACGGCATTTATTATACTACTGACTGTAGAACAGGTACCCAAAAGGAACAATCTTTGTTTTCCATAAAAAAGTTTGATTTTCTCAAAAAGAAAAATGATCATACTGGATTTCGATTCCTATGGACAAATACTATTCTCCATTTGGTTGTTTTTGGGGTTTTTTTTGGGGGGGGGGATTAAAAAAAAGAAATCTTGGTGCCAGGCATGGTGGCGCATGTCTGTAATCCCAGCACTATGGAGGCTGAGGCAGGAGGATCTTTGCAAATTCGAGACCAGCCTGTGCTACAACGTGAGCTCAAGGCCAGCGTGAACAGTATGTATAGTGAGACCCTGTCTCAGAAAGACAAAAACAAAAACAAAAAAAACCTGGGTACCTCGATTCCCTGAAACTTCTGGGAATCAACAGAAATGTTATGGTGCCTCTCTCCAAGGGAAATCAGAGTCGCATATTTCTTAATATAATTTTAGGATATTCAGAATACTGCAGGATCTTCAGTGAAATGCCTGCCCCAGATTAAAATTTCTACAACTGAATATGAGTTTTGTTTCTATACTTAAGTCTTCTGATCTTTTAAATGAGACTTTAACGCTATTAGATAAGCAGCTTCCCTTTGCGACTGTCACTACTGTCTAGCAGCTTTCTTGACAACTGACAGAAAATAGAGAATTTCTTACCTCCGAGAAATTAACAGCCAAGGGAATGATTCCAGCCACGTAACATCCCACTAACATAGCCAGAGAAAGCAGACTAATGGAGATGAAATCATCCATTCTGTCCTCTCTATTCACCCACCAACACCACACTTTAAAATCCAGCCGCTCCAAAAGGTGTTTAGGCTCTTTAAACGTGCAGTGGTTCCACGAGAATAAATGGACTTTCCAGTTCCTCTGGCCTCCTCACCAGATGTGTTCACGAGGCACTTCTGAATGTACGTGGAAACGACCCCTTTTCGCTGATACTAGCACCAGAGAAAACTTTGAGCACTCCTTAGGTTCTTAGACGCCAGTCACTGGATTCTCGTGGGTTAACAGATGTGGAAATTGTTCGAAAGAGCAATTTCTTCAATCTTCGGAATGAGGGTGGTACAACGGTCCACCTCACACAAGGTCTAGGATAGCAGCGAGAAAAGAAGGATAACCCAAGCGAACTTCTCCTGCGTGGTCTGAGAGCCCGTTTCTTTCTCGGATGGCCCCGCAGCTGATCCACTCCCGCAAGCCTGGGACCAGCCCACCGGTCCCCAGCACACTCCCCTCCCAGTCTAGACTGGAGAAAGGAGTCCTGCAAGTCTTTAACAATGGGTTGCAGCGATTCACCAGCTACGCTGATATAAAGCTGTCTTTGCCCTATACCCGATGCTGCCCATAGTACTCCACTTCGCCGGGCCTTGACCCGGAGTCGCCAATACTACAGCTGCCATGGCCGCCAAGTGGCACCTTTTCAATTACACTCACTTCCGGATTGTCTCAACGCCCCCTCCTTAGAAGGTTGCTTCCGGGTTACAACCGACCTATGGCCCGGGAAATGCATATTGCCGCCATTTTTTAATAGGGCCAGTGAAAGATGTTTGGGAGGAGCCAGTGTAAACTGATGACCACTTTAGCATATGCCTAAGAACTACAATACAGAAGAGAGAGTCTTGAGAGAAATAATGTTTTCTACATCTCCGAAACTTTCCCTTACTTAAATCATTGCCCTTATCCAAGATGGCTGAAACAGAGTCAGCATCCTCTCTAGCTGCCGGAAGAGTGCTCATCTCTATGGTCTTTTGGACGAGTTCCGGTGGCTTCTCTTGAGGAGATTGGCTGTTGGCGGCGTTGCGGCTGAGCTCGTGTGTGGCTTGTGGAGTCGGCGTTTGCTGCAGCAAAGAGTTTGGCGCGATGGTGAGAAAGGCCTCAACGGCTACCGGAGCCCATGGGCTCCGGGGCGACCCGTTCCTCGTACATTTTCTATTCCCGCTTGCAGCCAGCCAGCGCGAGCGTGCTTGTGCCTGCCCCTCCCGCGCGCGGGCCGACCCTTTCCCTTCCCGCCGCCGAAACTTCGGCCTGGCTGTAGGCCCCGACCAGCATCCGCCCGCTGGCTGGGCCATGGCGTGCCGGGGGCCTGAGGATGCATTCTCACTGCCACTGCTCGGTAGAGGGAGGCGGGGGTGGTTGCTTTCTCCCTTCAGAGACTCCAGCCTGCTGTAGAACAATGGCCTAAGGATAAAAACAAACCCTTTCCTGAAGCAGGTTCGCCAGCTTAATGCACCCTGGTGGGCCAGGCAGAGTCCCATGGCTTTGTAGTGTTTCCTAGCTGGAAAAAGTAGTTTGTCTCATCCAAAGCCCCTCGGCGCCTTGTGTGGTGTCGCTACCAGTCCCAGCCTGTTCTTAACTTTATGTTCTCGTGGGGCTGGAGTCTGGAGCGATGGGCTCAGCTGCGCGCCTACGGGATCTGACCGCGCTGGAAGAGAGTGGGTATTGATTGGCTTCCTTATGTGTGTGAATCGACAAAAGAGAGGTGCTTGCGGGGATGAGGAGGAATCAAGGTTATCCTATGCAGTTACTGTGGGAGGGGAACTTCCTTCGGGTTGTACTTTGCTAGTTGAGATAAGTCATTGTTTGACTCCACTGTAATCTCCGGAGGGCAGCGAAGTGGAGGCTGGGTTTCAGTTCCTATTTTAATTTACCTAGCGGTGTGACCTGGGCCAAATCACTCTTCTCAGGGTTTCCTTCTTTCTCTGCCTTCGTATTATTGTGTTAAAATGTTTAGATTAAAATACGAGAACGAAACAACTGCTAGTATCGACAGTCCATTCTCATTGAACAATGAGTGAAGGAAGCTTTTATTTATTTATTTGGAGATGGGGGAAACAGTTGAAACCAATGAGTAAATATTTCTGTAATACTAGGATGACGATTCTTTGTGCTCATTTTTATGAACTTTTTTAAGAAAAACTTCTTTAGCAACTATCACTGTTGTTTGATCATCAGAGAATAAAGCTTGATTAAGGAAATCCTGTATAACTTTCCTCATTTGGGTGTTGCAGTCTTTTTTTTTTTTTTTTTTTTTTTTTTTTTTGTCTTTTTCATTTTTATCGGTACCAGGGATCGAACTCACGACCGCCTGCTTGCAAGGCAGGTGCTTATGCCGCTGAGCTAAATCCCCAGCCCGTTGCAGTCTTTTTTAGCCTATTGTGGTAAATGGAAATAAAAGGTACGTGTGTGTATATAATTGGTTTGGTCATTCCCCTGAGAAAGGGAAGGACTGAGTTTGTTCAGAGGGAGGTAGCTGATAAGACAAATATATTTGGATTTTTATTAAGACTCAAGGATTCAGAGACTAAGCTGTGAAGATTAAAATGATCGAATGTTGTTAGGTGTTAGAATCTCTAAAATATTTTTAACAGAAATGCACCGTCACTTAATAAGCTTTTTGACTAGTTTTCCAAATTTAATCACATTGCATTATAGTAGTTTTTAATCTTTGTGGGCAGTACATATCAAAATTACTAAGGTTTGCCCATAGGTTTATTAAAGGCGGTATATAAAAAGCAGTATACAGTATAACTTTCCATATGTTTACTTTTTCAGATAAATTACTGCTTTTGTTTGTATTAGAGTAAAAAAGTGAGTATGATAGTAGGTACTACAGCTAGTGTGCAGGACAAGCTCTTCCAAAAATGCCAGTGTAGTTTCTGTAAGATTTTATTCTTAACAACATGTTGAAACTGCCTTTTTTGAATAACTGGCTTATTAAAAATTGTGTGCTCGGGCCAGGGATTTAAGTGCCTGCTTGGCACGCATGAGGTCTCAAGTTTGATCCCTGGTACCCCCCCCCCAAGTGTGCTCTATAGCAAATCTAATAAAATGCTTTGCTTTGTCTGTTACTCATAATTTAACAAAATACCTTGTTCAGGTCATTATAGGTGAAAATTACTGTTTATCTCATCACTAAGTTCTAGTTTTAACTCAGAACCCTCAACCTTTTAATCAGAATTACTTAGTTGTTAGTGGGGAGGGAGTAGTAGTATGACCTTTCAAATTGTATGTAATATTCAAGTGCTGTTTTTCTGTTATTCATAAAGTAAATATCAGTCATTTTAGTTCCAATGTGTTGATAGTTAAAAATTCTGACCCCTAAGGGCCCATTATGAGATTTTATGTTTTTAGCAAAAAAAAATTTATTGCAAAAGAAAAAAAAAAAATTGTAAGTAGTTTAACTTGAAATTGAGTTTACAATGATTGCATAAAACTAGTATTTAAGTAATGAATCTTGCCCCCCAAAAAATGGATGGAGATAGAATTTCAGTAGGGTGGTGCATGCCTATAATCCGAGCACTGGGAAAGCTGAGGCAGGCAAATTGGAAATTAGCTTCAGCTATGAGTGAGCTCAAGACCAGCTTGAACTGCATATGAAACCCTATCTCAAAAAGACCAAAAAAAAGTGTCAACGTTGAGGAACCCTAAAATTGGCCCTCCAACAAAAACATGCATCAGTGAGCATGAATTAATTTGCTCATTCATTTTGTTATAAGAACAATTTAAAGTAAGTGATCTAATAGGTGGATAGCTTAAAAGGTTTTTTAGGGTTATTTTTACTATATATATTTGGTTTATATTGCTGGTTTACCTTAAACTTCCATGTTAGAGTATAACAACTGGGTAAAATGTAATTCCACTGTTGTTATTTTTTTAAAAAGATACAAAGTTTGCAATGTGTCCCTTTGTCTCTCCTTTCATGCACCAGTATCTAAATTTTTTTATTAGGGACTTCATAAGGGGTGACCCGTAGAAACAAAACCATAACAGGTTTATAATTTGGTTGGGAAGATAAGGAGCAAAAGAAAAGCCAGTAGAAAGTTGCTTTTGCTGAGTACTTATGGGCAGTAAGTATACTTGGAATTCAAGAAAGCAATCACTAAAGACCTAGAGACTAAGGAAGACTGTAAGGCAATTGTAAATCTTAATTGCTAATAATTGAGCAAAGGCATAAATATTATAAGGTGAATAGCCTAATTATGTTTTAATAACTAGTAGTCATGTCACAGATTTAAATTTTATTATCAACTGTGAATTTCTCAACCATAAATTAGAAACTTAAATTGAAATCTTTTTTTTCTCCTGCAGTCTCATACTATTTTGCTGGTGCAACCTACCAAGAGGCCAGAAGGCAGAACTTATGCTGACTATGAATCTGTTAATGAATGCATGGAAGGTAAGTTTCACACCAGTCCAGGTATAGAAATCTTTAAGTGATTTTTTTTCCCCCCTGCTATTCTTAAAATGTGTTATGCCTATACTTATTAAGTATGTTGCCCACCTACTGAGGAGGCTGTGGCAGAAACAACACAAGTTTGAGGCCAGCGTTGGCAGCTGTCTTAAAAAGTAGAAAGATCTGGGGATGCAGCTTGAGTAGCGTGTCTTTGGGGTCAGTCCCCAGTACCACACATAGAAAAATCAGTCAGTCAGTTAACTCCCTCTACCATCACCACCCCCCGAAACTAGTTTTGTTTTGTTTTTTCCCCCTCTAGATTTCTTGAATTGTTAATCTGAGCAGGAAACTAGGTATGTAGGATGAGCTGTAATTTTGGGGTATTTCATGTATTATGCTATGTTTTTCTGCTACAAAGATTATGGTATTATTTTAAATCAAGCTCATGCATATATTCAGTGACTTTCCAAAGCTGTTAATTTCTTTTTATTATGCTGTGCTTCATTATGTAAATATTTTACGGCATCTTGTTTATTCTGGTTAAATTCCAGCACTATAGAGTTAAGGTGGCCTCTGTGGATGCCTTTAGCACCTAGTAGTCCTGTTAAATAACCAAATTGAGATTTGGATACATTGCATCACAGTGTTAGAAAATAAAACAAAATAGGGGCTAATGGAACAAATCAACATAATTTATTGTGTATTTGATAAACTGACACCCCCTGAAGAGGATTATAGTTTTTTTACTCAGTAAATCATTGAGCACATAAATTAGATTTTCATAAGTTAGTTTTATTCTTACATTTAATCTTTATATCAAGTTAAACAATTATGCACGCCTAACATATTTTCTAGCAAATTATTCATTGTTCCCCCTTTTTTTTTTTCCTCCCTCCATTTTTTGAGATACGGTCTTGCTGTATGGTAGTTCAGGCTAGCATTGAACTCCCAGTGATTCTCAGCCTCTTGGGATTACAGGCATATGCCACCACATCTAGCCATTCTTCACTTCTTCCACAAAGATTATATAGTCACTTTGTTTTGCTGTTGGACATGTCCTTAATACTGTTGATAATTCAAAACTAACTGGGTTAGATTTATGATCTAAGTAAAACGAACAGTAAGTACACCTGTGAAAAAATCTATTTGTAACCAGGGATACCTTCTGGTAAAGGGTGTCATTCTGTCCATACTGCCATCAAATTCTGCTGTGATTTTTTTCCTTTCATTTTAAAGAAGAACAAGGAACTTTCATGATCT